ATCCATCCATCCATCTAAACTTGCGTATTTATAATATTAGTATAATAGTCTGGAAAAAATGATGACTACTTTTGATCCCAGAAATAGTTACGGTTCCCGTGGGATACATTTTGATTTTTTTATGTTTCCTCGATAATTTTGCAACATTGATTTTTATTGAAATTGATTCTTCATTGATTCTTATTGAAATTTGGCACAGATATATTTAGTCATAAAAGAGGTTTGTCTACAAAGGGTGTCATACATCGTACAAGTCGTTCCTCAGAACACAATTTTAGGTGTAGAGTGACTTAGAGATGGAAAAAGAGCATTATGCTCGTAGATGACCTTGAGCCGACGAGATATTTGAAAAGGAGTATACCTTGACTGCGTTCTGGTTGAGTTTGGCGGTGAGTGGTCCAGCATTGGAGGGCGGCGGCAGCGCGCCCAGCGCAGCGCCCGCGTCCAGCGGGTGCACCAGCGGCCGCTGCTGCAGCCGCGGCAGCTAACCACATAGAACAAACTTATTCACTAATTTATACTTTCATGGATAGAAGAATCAAATCATCGAACATCGAATTTATCGAGGCAATTTTATTTTACAAATTACTTATGTTTTTTTTTATATATTTATGGTACACAGCGCATTTTGCTTTCGATTAAAATGAAATAACCGAATTTTTATCGACATTTAAGAGAGTAACGCAAGATACATTTATTACTATTTTTTATTTCTTTTTACTAGTTGACACTTAGAAGTACATTACCTCCCCGGGCGTACTGGAGGCGGCTGACGTCACCGGCGGGGTGGTGGCTACGTTGGGGGAGGCGAGAGCGAGGGGCGAGGGGAAGGACAGCCCCCCCACGCCCCCCGAGTTGGTCGCCACCGTGGAACACCGCTCAGATATACCATTTAATACCGACGAAGGAGAATCCTGATAAATCATAAATATGATTTACTACACATAATAAATTTGACTTTTTTAATTAATTCCAAATTATTTTAGTGTAAATGCTCATAAATACAATATTGGACTTCGTAAGAATCGTTGTGGAGAACGCAATTGTAAGTGTAACGGTGCGCGGACTTTGAACCGTTTTTATTATTATATTAAATCAACATCTACAGAATCTTGGTCCATACTCGTTTTCGCACAATTTATACCTTTTTGTTTTTTGCGTAGTCCTTGTGCTACTTGTCTACTGTGTGACTGAGCCGTTAAGATATTTGAATAGAAGTGACTCACATCCAATCCTCCTACAGACATGACCGGCTGCAGGCTGAAGGTCCACTGCCCGTTGAGCGAGGTGAGCAGCGGCACGGTGTGCACGTTGGCGGCCACCTGGCCCACGGTGGGCAGCACGGGGGCGGGGTTGAGGCCGGCGCTGGCCACGGTGGACAGCATGTTGCATGTGTTCGTCGTCGCCGGACCCACTTTGGGCATCGACGATGGCAAACTGAACGGCAGTATTGTACATGGGTTAACACCGTTTGCTGAAAAAAACATTTATTATTTGAGATATGGGCGGAAAATAAATATTTTACAATACATACAAAAAAACAAATATTTCTCCTTTATTATTAGTATGAATATTATATTAGAAGTGTCTGTATGTTATATTGAAAAAATCATTGCATTAGTGGTAACTAAAATTAGTTAATAATATATTAGTTATTTTATATTTTCATCCGTGATTCAGAAAAAAATATTTAGCATATAATATTCACGCGTCAAACTATCTTTCTGTCAAAATCAAATCAAAAGGACAAAACAGACATTTCCATTATATTAACCATACTAATATTATAAAGGAGAAAGATTTGTATTTATTGAAATAACTCAAAAACTTCTGGGCCGATTTCAAAAATTCTTACACCATTAAAAGATTATCACTGAGTTACATAGGCATAGGCAACATGAACACTGTTTTTCATTATTTTTTGATTTCACGCGGGCGAAGTCGCGAGCCACGGTGAGTATGTATATAAATAAAAAATTATATTTTGTTAGTATTGTGGAATTTACTTTACACCTTAGTATTGTACACGCGAAGCTAACTTACCCGAAGTAACAACAGGAGTAGGCAGCCTGGCGCTGGGTGCGTTAAGACAAGCAATCGGTCTGACCCCTCTGACGGGCGCCTGCGTCACCGGCGGTTGAATCGGTATATACACCATCGAATTCTTGCCATTTAATTCTGATCTCACGTCATCAGTTTTTTTAGGCTGAGGGAAGGTCTTCTTAGCCCGGACACGGATCTCTGGTGGCTTAGACGAGCTCTTCCTTGTATTAACTGGTGCGACAACCACTTTGTTTATTCTCACTTCACGTAAATTGGCATTTACAGGTGGATTCACGGGTTGCAGTTTGAAAGCGTTCATTAAATCCATCTTTTCATTGTGTCGTTCAATGTCATCTAAATCGATAGGTTCTGATTTAATTTCCACTTGTATTGGGTTGGTTTCTTTTGGTGTAATCTCTAAGGAGGACATTCGGGCGAATGCACGAACTCCTACTCTACCAACTGGTGGAGGATCGTTGTCGTTTCTTAGTTTTTGCAGTTTAGTCACCGCTTCTTTCATATTACGTACGTTATCTGTACTCGTTGGTGTGAAAATACTAGATTCTGATGTATCTTCTATGGTTATCTCTATTGATGTAGTTGTGGGAATATTTACTATTTTAGGGGAGCTTTCGGTACTCTTTGGGATTACGAGACTTCGAACACTACTAATAGTTGGTAGTCCAGTGACATTATTGTTTATAATATTAGTTTTAGATTCCCGAGCAATCACTGCTAAGCTAACATCATCTTCCAATGGTGCATTTGTACCTTTTGGCCCTTCAGAGCTTATTTTAGGTGCAATTTTAATAACACTTTTATTAACTGCAACTTCTTTATCCTTGTTGTTGGAATTATTTTCTTTTACATCTATATCCGGTTTATCTACAGTTTTATCAATATTTTTCTCGTTACCATATTGTTTTATTTTGATAATTTTATCGCCATTATTATTTAAAACTTTATTTTTAGAATTCCTACGTTTTTCTGATTTCGGTTTGTCTTCTTTCTCTAGATCACTTATTTTGTCGGGTTTTGGTTGTTTTTGTCTTGTTGTTATTTCATTTGTACTATTTTTTTCTTTGCTGGCATCTTTATTTTTGGGAGTACTAGTTTTAGGGAGTTTTACTTTTATTATAATTTTGGGTGATATTGGTTCAGTGTTATTTTCTTTAACACTGGTGCTTGATGGTTCGTTATCTTCATTGTTTGTGGTTTCAATAACTTCATTCACAGTAGTTGGTTCATTGGGTTTGGTTTTCGGAGTTGAAACCGGATTTGTGGGAGTTGTTATTTTTTCTTTAATTTCTTCTTTTTTAATGGCTTTTGCTTCACCATTGGTTCTTTTGCGTTTCTCTGCAACAGGACTGTTGTTTACATTTAATATGGTAACAACAGCTTCCTCTAAATCTGAACGTCGACGTTTTTTAGGTTCTTTCTTCGGCGAGATCATATCGATATCGATACTTCTGAAACGTAATTTTACAATAATTATTGAACACAAATCTTTATCGACAGTAATGTTATTAGGATGTACTATAATTTAATATATCGAACCTTATTTCATGGAAATAATTAACTCAAAATACATGTTTTTAATTGCGTGTGAAGTTTGGCATGTTTATAGAAGCTGTGAGATGACAGAGAATGACGTTGTCCTATCTCTTTTATTTTCATTTTATTGTTCCGCGAGTTGAAATAGTCTTATTGATCGCGCAAATGTCGTTTATGATAAAAACTCAAAAACCATAATTTTTTTTATGAAAAAAGCGCGATATGTTATTTATATAAAACCTTACTTGTCGTTGATCGAATAGTCCTCTTCTTTAGCGATTTCAGCGCCGTCTGCCATTTTTCTTGTTTTCGTAACGGACACTTCTTCCCCTTCACTGGCATCGCTGAAAATTACTTAAAATGTATACTTGGCATCTATCGTGTTGCACATTTCTATCATTGAATAATAAATATAAGGTAACGCTATTTTTATCTAACTATAGAAAAATGAATAAAAAAATCACAGAAAACACATTTGTTTTTTATTATTCAATTTAAGGTACATTATAATTATTTAAAAAACAAAACATCATCTTAGAAAACTATACTAAATAGTTTGACTATACGAGATATAAATTCACATTGAAAATAATTAGTTTTAACATTTTAAGGTTATAATTTATCTAATAATAATCTTTTCTTAAATTTAGCTCTACATACATATGTCTGATTTTATTTTTATAACGATTTGGAAGAAAGTATATCCTCATATATAGAAGGTATAAAAAACTTACCCGTCTTGAGTAGAGGAACTCTTAGAACTTTTAGAGTTTGATCTACTTTTGTTCCTGGCAGAGCTTTGTGAACTTCCCGACTTCTCCTTAGTCGCTGCAGACACTTCGCCGTCGAATGTAGGAATCTGAAATATTAATAATTTTTTTTAAATAGACATTTCAATACCTCAGAATTTATTACAAAGTTATAATAACTAAGAATATAAGAAAAATGGTTTTTTTATTATTATATGTCGAATCTTACCATCATTTTCAATTGTTCGCTTAGTTTCGTGGGATCAAATTGTGTTTTAAATGGTGGATACACAAATTTTCCATATTTTCTTGATATATTCCGTATATGTAGCTCTGCTTCCTGAAATACACAATTAAAATCATTTCTTTTTTTAGGTTTCAATAGTTTTTTATAAAATCACGATTATGTGTCATAAAGTGTCATCTATTCTTTAGTTCCTTTTCCTATTAAGGAACTAAAGAATTACTACATAAAATTTAAATTCTTTTTTACTTCCTAGCTATTATTTTATAAAATTATCGACTTTGATTATTACAGATAATCTACAAAATATCATTACATTTACGTTGGTCCCACAGATTAATTAAAAGTTGGCAACTTATATACAAATACGAATATCTAGGGAATCGCAGTTCGCTATATTGGCGATTTAGCCGATTTAGTAGCCGCTTGCTTATTGACATTTTATAATATAAATTAGAACAAAAAAATACAAATAAATTTGAAAAACAAAGATTAAAAAAAAATTAAAATCTAAAAATGGTAAGTTTACATATCGTTAAAATACCACGTAATTCATTTTTGATGCCATTCGTTAGAAAATCGAAAGTCGCATTGTTTTAGCCCATCAGAAACACGTATTCTTCATTAAATATACACAAACAGTGTATTAGTATGGTTTAATACAAAATTATGCCGTTTTTTCTCTTGAAAAGTTTCTATTATTTACATCCATAGTGTTAGAACTTCAACAACGATATACAAGTAAGGTAGAAAACATTGTTTAGATCCAATAGCTTTATTTATAAGTGGTAAAAAGTTTTTTACTAACTTGCATACTATCTAGTATATCCTGTCGTTTAGTTCTGAAGTTATTGGGATCCTTCTCCGAGTAGAGGTAGCAGTCCTTGGCGGGCACCCAGGCGCGGTCGTGAGCGCCGAAGAAGCGCACGTCCACCAGCCCGCTGCCGTTCACCGACATCGCCTTCGCCGGCCAGTGGGGGAACCCTGCATCACAAACACATCAGCTGAAAATATGTCCCCAAATATGCTTAAACTATGTGTTAATAATTTCGCTCTAGAACTATGGCAAATTTCGTTAAGATTCTATACCTTCTATCAAACATCTATCAAAATAAGCAAACTTTCACATTTATAATAGTGACGTTAGTTATGACTGTGGAGAGTACACCGGTAGAAGTAGACGTAGAAAGAGATGTATGGATTGCGTGAAAAGTGACATGATCAAAAAAGGGGGGAGACTGAGATGACGTATGATAATTCTGTGGAGGACAAAAACCCGTTGCGCCGACCATACGGGAGTAGGATAAGGAGATGACGATATATAATACTAAGATAGTAAGATGAATTTCAATATTGATACATGTCGAAATTCGAACTCAGGATTTACAGATTAAAAAACCAGTGTTGTTCAAAAATTTCAAGTTTGTTTATTAAAAAAAAATTTGAAACATGCAATTTTTACAATGTTGTACTTTCAAGACGGTATAAACGACCATGTATCAAAATTCCGCGCTAACGAAGTTTGGCACAGCTATTTAAGTTAGCACATATCCTAAGTTACCTTTGAGCTTAGCCCAGAGCAGTATATGGGGTGTACTGCAGACATCCGTGAACCAGGTAGGCCTGCGTGCGTGCGCCGCCGCGTAACACTCCGCACACGCCTCGATCTCCGCCATCTCCGTGCGGCACATTCGCACCAGCGCGCGCGCATACCCCGTCATCTTAGACGTTGCTGACACAATACAAAGTATTTCTATTACACATCATTTGCGTCATCATTACCTATTACTAGCTTTCGCCCGCGCCTCCGTCCGGGTGGAATTAAAAAGAAACAAAAGTGACTAGACAATGTGTTCCTTCATTCTCTATCTATGTCAAATTTCATCGAAATCCGTTCAGACATTTAGGCTACAAACTCTAACAAACATCCATCCATCTAAACATTCGCATTTATAATATTAGTAAGATAATTATGATAAATGTAATTTTAATTCTAGTTATAAAGTTAAAGCACTTTGGCCAGGCAGCATTTACAAAGTATCCAATCGCTACGGAACTCCGCTGACTCGGTTTTGTGATAAGAATTTTTAATTATTATTATTGTTTAAGCATGTTTATCCGATTGTATTGTAATATTCCATATGTGTAAAAAATAAAGACAAAAAACACGCACACACAATATAAAAAATCCTTGTCAAAAATGAAAATAATGCATGAATACTACATGTTTCCATATTTTACATTTACACTAAATGGTCTCAAATTCGTTCATGTCAAAGTATAGTTATATTTTCTTTATTTTCGCGCGAGATTATCTGAATTAATAATTTCCAGCACTGTTAAATACCATTTCCACTATTCTATTCTCTAACTAATCTAGTTTTAAAACCGAAAATCAGTTTGACACTGAATCTCGACTAGTATCGGTAAATCAGAGCCCTTTGGCCATCAGTGTTACGAATGTACATATGTTTTGTACTGTATTTTTATAGCAATAAAAAGGTTTAGGTCATATACGAGCCTAAATTTTTCTTTACGAGTAAGGATAAATGTGGGTAATAATTACCGAAATTATACAAAATAATCTTTAGATCATTATTGCAAAAAAAAACTTTTATAAAAATATATTTTGTAAAAGTGTCAGGCAGTAAACTCTAAAATATATAAATCGATACCATTAAAAATGTACTTACAAGTATTAAATATGATGCTATTATGAAATATCCACTGTGTGTCAGCGAGGAATGCTTCAGTGCTGCCGTACAGACCGTCGTTGATGTTTTTCTTCATCAGCGACAAGTCCATCGGATGTACGACGTATTTGTCATAATCAGGGAACGATGCACGGTCTACTGGCTGCATGAATGGTTCCGCCTTCAACAAATAAAAATAAATAAATTATCTTTAAGCTATAAGTGTATATATGGATGTTTGAATTTGAATTAACATAATTTATAAAAACGCATGGATGCTTTATAATTTATATTTTCGCGCGCACAAGTCGCAGGCAAAAGCTTGTATTTAATGTATGCAAAAGTTTTGATGTATGAATGTTATCATACTATTACACAACTTATTTAATTGATACTGTCGCTTTTAACTCAGAGCAATACTTCTCGTCAAGACTCAAGTTACGCGCCAATCTATCCATACTTCTAGTGACATTGACAGCTGTCAGCTAGGGACGTGACGTTTATGCCGATAATCTAGAGTTGCGCCAATTCTATAGCACGGTACTAATTTTATTCCTAACAATACATTGATAAGATTGAAAGTGGATGGCTACAAAGTAAGAGGAAGACCGAAGAAATCATGGATGGATTGTGTGAAAGAGGATATACTTAAGAAAGGAGTGGATTCAGATATGACGAATGATAGAGATGTATGGAAGAGCAGCACATACTGTGCCGACCCTCCGTAAGGGATAAGGGCAAGTGGATGATGAATGTTATCATACATTAGAACAACAAAGAAAATCTATTTAAAATTGAGATTAGGCTGAAATAGGGCATAACTGCTAACTCGATTTTTAAATTTACGCGGGTAGTGCCAACAGCCAGTACTAAATATTCTTAATTGCGGAATAACTTTGTGGCCAGTAACATAACATTTGTCACAGATACTAAACTACATTTTCACTTTGAAGATAGTTTAAACCTTTTCTACATTCGCCTTTTAGCTCCATACGCATCAACATAATAAATTGTTCTGTCGTCACACCTGCCTACTTAAAGGTGAAATAAATTTGTTAAATTAATTACATTGAATACAACATTTCAGAATCAACCATTGGGCATCGTCACTTTTTATATGATACCTACTTTTCAAAATCTGTAGTTTTGGTTATCTATATTTACTATTGGCTATTGTATAATCCCAAAGATTGTAATTAAGAATTCTCATAGAATCGTAAACAATTTTACAGTATACTGAGGTCTGTTTATAATTTACTGGCCATAAACAAATAACATTTATAAAAATATGTAATCTTCAATAATAATTAAATGTAAACCAGAATAATCAAGTGTGGGTGGATAAATTTCAACCCACTAATAGAAAGGTACGACAGAGCGAAGATTCGAGAAGTATGCAACAAAGCAAGAACACACAGACGCGTTGTACGATGTAGTTATTATTAGGGCGCGAGTGAGCGAGACGGAGTACTGAAGCCTACGTATTGATTATGCGGTATTAGAGCGAGAGAAAAGACTGCGGCGTCACGCGCAGTGGATTGCGTAGATAAGTAGCAAGGTCATTTCACCGAGCCCGAGCACAGCGTCGTGCCTCAATATTCAACGTGGACAAAACGGAATTCGAAAAGATACTATTGATGCAAATTTACACATTTCTTCGATTATATATATGATTTCGTGATCAAAAAACAATTTAGTTATACATCACATATAATGTTATGAATGTACAATAAATTTTTAGTTTATAACTTTCCTTTTCATACTTGAGTAGCATAACTTACACTAATGAAAATATTTACAATCTAATTATGTACATAACTATAATGTGTAATTGATTATTCGTATATATATAAAAAAAAATCAATGAGAATGAACCTCTGCTAAATACAATAATCTAGACCAATATTATAATAGAGAAAAGATTTGATTTGTAACAAACTTAAAAAAACTGCACCAATTTCAAAAATGTTTCTTCATTACTATGCTAAATTATTCCTAAGTAACATAGATTAAATATTATAATATGTTTGTGATAAATGAGTATAAAAGGAAAGGTAATTTACTAAGTGAAACTACCAAAAGTGTGACTGTATACTTTAGGAATTAGAGTTTATTTTAAAAGTAATATTAAAAATCAATTACCCCATTAAAATCCATGAGGCGTTCCAATGCAAATCTAAGTAAATCGCACAGCATGCCCAATGATATCTTTTTCATAGCTGGTGATCTGGAAACAAAGAATTAGGAGATAAATATCTATAAAATTGGATATTAACAGCAAAGATTGTGGAAAATGAAAGAAAAAAGACAATGAATATAGATATTTGTTAGTAATACGGACATAACATATTGAAACTTTGTTTTAGTACACGTCTTTCTGTAAATGAAGTAAATTCTTAAGGATATCCTGTGTTAGTTGTAAATTTGTTGTTCTTAATTCTATGTTATGAGCTTGTTTAGGCTACAAACTCTAACATCCATCGATGTAAACTTTTGAATTTATAATAAGTATGATGTATGATAATACACATAAAATGTAATAAAACTTACCTAGTATCCGAACTTTCTGCGGACAATACAGAGAGGCACTCAGGACAAACCCAACTTTTATCATTAGTTATTTTGTTTCGCTCTGTTCCAGACAGGCATTTGTAATGAAATGACCGAGGGCAGATAGTACAATGCATCGGATGGTGTGTCTTCTCATTAACACCTTGCTCAACTTGCCAATGACAACGCCAGCAGAATAAATCTGAACGAAGTTTGCTGTCAAGTTGATCCTATGATTTAAAAACACACTATTTTATAAATGTATATTGTAATAGAAATGTTCATGTACTGAATAAAGTTAAAAACAACGAAAGCCATTAAACTGCTAGTTTTGTGACAATTGCCTGACATAAGGTTGCATAACCTTACTCCATTATCTTCATTAAAATTGTATACCTATCCAAAAGGGTTGGTTGGGAGTAAATGTTTTTATGCAACAGTACTTTTACAAATAAACTAAAGTGTTAAATCAGGGTAATCTGGGACTTACTTGACTGACTGTTGTCTTTTTCGTTTTTGTACTGGGAGAGGTTTTATTGTCATTTTTACGGTCTTCACTCTCCTCATCTGATATGACAATGTCATTTTCATGTTTAACACCTTTACCTGTCACCGAATTTAAAAATTGCTTTACCTTATGAACAAATTCTGGATTTTGCGACCGCATTGATCTCTTTAGGTTCGCCTTGTCAGATTTCTCACTGCATGTACTCAGTTGCGAGTTGGTACTACTGCGTCTGATACCTTGTACTTTATCAGGATCAACCAGAGAAGTCAGGCTTGAATCTAAGGGAGTTCTAGATTTTCTAGTCTTGCTAGTTAGTTGAGTACATTCACTTATAATTTTAGACTCCTTGGCTGATTTAATAAGAGACTTCAGTTCTCTGCTAATACTTTTATTATGCTCTTTTTCGGCTACATCAGAACTTCCTTCATTTTGGGAATCAACTGAAGTTTCTTTTTCTGATGCTATTGAGGATACTGTAGATTCATCAAGTTTATTATCTACTTCTTTAGAAATTGACTTATTGTCCTCTACATTGCCCTCTTTACTTGGAGATTCAACAATTTCTGGTTCAATCAATTTGATAACTTCTTTTTCACTTTTAGCCTCTTCAACAGGTTTGTTCACCGGCACCTCAACTTCAGGTTCTTCCTTAGCTGCATATTCATGATCAGAAATAGTGTTAATGTTCTCTACTTGAATTATTTTTTGTTGACTTTCATTAATTTTCCCATGAGAGTTTTTTGCATCACAGGATGAATCTGCCCTTACCTCTAATGGTGTTTGCATTGATGAGGAAATAGTTTTAATAGGAGAATTTTCAGGTGATGATAAATTTGTTGACTTATTTGGACTCCTTTGTACACAAGACAGTGGTGATAGTGATATAATTGTCTTAATTGGACTTTTATCTGCACAAGACAGTAGTAATGGTGATATTACCTTAATTGGACTTTTACTCTCAGAAGACAGTATTGGTGATATTGTTGACTCAACTAGACTCTGCTCAACACAAGATATTGGTGATAGTGATTTTGTTGGACTGTCATCTACAATAATGGGTGATATTACCCTGGGGGCTGGGGTTTCCTCGTTTTGTTTGTCTTTTTGTTGAGGGTCTGTTATTTGTGTTTGCAAGTCAGTCTGTATTTCAGAAGTACCTTCACAGGATTGAGTTGATTGAACACAGTCATTTGGCTCAAGGTTTTCTATATCTGTTGACTGCTGCAATGAGTGTGGTGAATGCTCTTCTTGCATTTTCTCTATGACTATAATAGTTTCTACTACATCACTAGAACCAGATATTTCATGCATGTCCGTGACGTCAGTGGTAGTCGACGTTACGTCCGTCTCCATCTGGGCCTCTGAGTTATCCTCCATCATCTGCAGTAAAAATATACAATTGCTTGGTATTTTTAACGTAACCTTTGTAATGGATTGAAAATTGTATTACACAAATTGTTACTATATTTACGTCCTAACAAATCTATCTGAATTTGGGGACCGGTCAATACCCTGTTCTTTACCATCCAGACAGATACCAACTCACTTTCCATACAACCATACAAAAATACATACAAGAACTTACCACACTTCTAGTGTCACTCATGTTTTAAATGATATCTACATACAACACGAAGGTTCCTTTTACTTTTAATTACTAAGTTTGTCGTATCAAACCATTTGTATCACATATATATTGGCAGATAATACAATCGAAAAATGAATACGTTCAACAATATTAACACATTGCCGAAGCACAACTGTTATATTATGTACGTTTATCGCTGCGTAGCTATTTCCTTGCTTCTTCATTGGTTAAACGACTAAAGAAAGCTAGGCAAGGTCTTGTGAAACATCAGTATATCTCTTTTATTTTGTAAACCTCTCGTTCTCCCTATCGCGTCTCTGTTTATGCAGATTTTTTAGAGAGAGCATCATAAACAAATGTACTACACTTATAGGCCTCTTTTGTAAATATTTTTTTTTATATTAATTTCATATTATAGCAAGCCAAATAGAAAAAAGTAAAAGAAAAGTATCAAAGTCTGTTTTAATAATTTTCATATTGTAGTGATATAAATGAACTTGAAATTCTTCATACCTCTTAAGCACTTCTCTGTATACTGTTAAAGCAGCATGCCATTTTACATCTCAAGCTCAAAATTATGTTAACATTAGGTAACTATTCTTACATTTTGTAATTCGTGCTTGAAAAACGCACAATAACGGAATTTGGAATGACAACTCGGACATTGACAGAAGATTGACACTTGACAGATTATTGATGTTTTATGTTTTTATATCTGCTGCAGTAATTCAAAGAGTTCTATTTCATGATATCTATGAAATAATTTTTAAGGTTTTAGAAAAACTGACCCCAATGGAATTTATTGAGCTTATATTGATTAATAAATTAGACGGTGTGATACTAAAATACCCACATCACGACAATGTAGACGGCACAGTATGTATTACTGGACATCATTTGATTCTAAGCTCAAGAAAAGAAGGCGTTCGTGAATTATGGGTACGTTGTATTTTAATTGGATTAACAATATATCGTTTTAATGGTGAGACTATTTATAAGCCACTCTATCTGGCTACATTCTACTTAGACTATGTTATAATTATCCTAAGCAGGAATTAAGCTATTAGTTTTTTTAGAATCCCTTAAGCCAATGACATTGACTCGGGAGGCTACTTTATTTATAATACTTGCATTGCAATTTATCTGAAACTTGTTCTCCTTGTATTTCCAGCTTTTACATAAAAATATAGACAGTATAGAGAAAAAAGAAAACAAGCCAATAAATGGTATGTCACAAGGTGGATCTCTTTTCCTGAAATGCAAGGATTTGAGAATATTCCAATTGGACATAGGCACTACTACAGAGTTAAATCTTGTTGCACAGACATTAGAAAATTTATCAAATATTCAAGATCCCAGTCTATTCTATCCATTCTTCTATAGACATATGCATCCTATTGTAGAAAATGGCTACACATTGTACAGGTAACAATTATTCTTTAATTTCATGTACTGTAAAATTTAATTCTTAATTTTGGATTCTAAATAACAAATCAAATTACAAAGCGATGAAACCAATATATCACATGCTTTTATTTTCTGAGTGAACAAATCCATTTAATCCCATGATATCTGTATATTTGGAAAATTATAATATTATTATTTTTTCTGTCAATTCTGTAACATGCTAATTGTATTGTTTGTTTCTTTTTCTTTAGATACTTATGTAATTCTTTTCACAAATGGGGAAAGGGATTGGCTCCTCCAGCACAAGAACCAAGGCTCGCATGAAATATATGTTCTTAAGTGTGAAATAATAAAGCATTAATATTTAAAATGCAGTAAAAAAAAACTACACATACATTTTGGACATAGGAGGGTGGACAACCTTTTCACATAGAATGTGATGGTAAAAAAATCAGAATAGAGCACAACCCCTAACAAAAACGTTCACTCATTTCAGTATTGAAGGTGAATTCACAAAGGTGTTGGCAAGTGAAGAATGGAGAGTGTCCCGTGTTAACCAGAATTACACAGTGTGTCCGGGATATCCTAAAGCTGTAGTGGTGCCCAAATCCATTGATGATGAGACATTAGCAGCTGCTGCATCATTCCGTCAGGGCGGTCGATTTCCTGTCCTATCTTATAGACATAACAATGGTGTAAGTAATTAATATTATGAATGTAAAAGTTTAGATGGATGGATGGATGTTTGTTTGTTAGAGTTTGTAGTCTAAATGTCTTAATGGATCTCAATTTTATTTGGCCCAGATATAGAGAATAGTCTGGAAGAACACATAGGCTACTTGCTTTTGTTTTTTTTAATTCGATTCGGACGGACTCGCGGGCGAAAGCTAGTTTTAAATAATTTGGACTTTAGTAAATTTATGTCATATAACATATTATAAGGAGGAATTATTTCTTTTTCTATTTGTAATGAATAAACTTAAAAAATATCGTAATTTCAAAAATTTATTTACCATTAGAAGACTACAGTAAGTCCTAAGTCATGTAAGGGGTCATCCAATCAACTTAATGGGATTTTTTTCCCTATTGGGATAATCAATTCTATACAATGAATCAACCCTGACTCAATTAGCCCAACATGAAACACCAAATTAGCATTACCATTATTACTGTTAAAAAATTTAAAAAACGCCGCCATGTTAAGATACTAGGTTAATACTTTTAATTTATTATTTCAGGCAGTGCTATTACGCGCCGGTCAACCGTTGTCAGGGCCGAAACACAGGCGATGTCGACCCGATGAAGCCATATTGAATTCTGTAGTCAATGTTGGTATGAAGGGGATCATATATGACTTAAGAAGTTCCAATGCTATCTCCCAGCAGCAGAATAAAGGTATGTTGATGTAACACTAATAATTGCTCGCGACCTTATATGCGCGGAATAAAAAAAAAATATGATATGCAGATTGCATTCTAAAAGTGTACTTTCTAAATTTTTTGAAGTTGCCTTAGTAGTATTTGAGTTTGTTAATAAAATACAATTCGTTTTTTTATTAATGTTAGTAAATTGATTCAGCAAAACAAATATCTGTAATATTAAGATTTTAACATTTTACTATTAATTTGTATATATTTATAGTACACCCTGTATATGAACATTTCATATAGAATTGTTTTCATGGACCATGAATATAGGAAAAAGTTGTTATACATGTGTTACAACAATGAAAACTTATCAATAAAGTATTTTTTTCAGTTGCAAAACAATTGGGTTTATTTGTATTATTAATTTAATATTTTATTTACAGGCGGAGGATCTGAGAGTGCCGCTAATTACTCTCAATGGAAAATATACAACAGGTCAATGGATGATGTTGACAATCAACAGCAGCTGCTGGAGAGTTTCTCCAAACTTATTGAAGGTTACCTGTTATGTTTAACTAGCTATCGCCCGCAACCTCGTCCGCGTGGAAAAAAAAGTATATAGCTTATGTCTAGCTAAATTAAATTGGAGATACATTCAGCAGTTTAAGCTACAAAGTTTAACAAACATCCATCTGTTTTTACTTTTGCATTTATAATGTATGCATAATTTATTAACTTTTTTATAACAATGAAGACTTTGAAACATTTATGTTACATAATATTTTTATTATATGAAATTATATTCGTTAAGGATACTGTTTGTTCGGTTTAACTTATGAATTTCGGGAATTAATTTTTTCCACCCAGTTACATTTGCCTTTAAATTTTCGGAAAGTATATAGTAAGTAAAATTTTATTTCGGAAAAAAATCCACCAAAACAGCAAAGCGTTCGCTGCCCAAAGACATCTGCAATAGCGGCAGTGTTGCCTATCCTTAAGCGACGGAAAAGGAGACACACACAAAGTGTATATTTCCCCTTCCTTTGCGTCTCTTGCACAGTCAAATCCACGTTCCCTTCCCATCCTTTTCTTATAAGAAAAAGGGGGTAAAGTTCCCATACTGTGTCCCCAGCGTGCGTGGACAAGGAGATATCCAGTGACAAGTGGATATCGCGGCTGGAGTGGTGCGGCTGGCCCGAGGCGGTGCGCAACGCGCTGCACACCGCCTGCATCGTCGCACAGCATCTGCACCAGGTACTGCTTACATCGATAGGTGAAAGAGTATTTGTTTTAAGTGCCATTAGGTTATATGTTCAGGAGAGCTGTTAAAAGTTTAAAAAAAACGACACCTACATTTTTATTGTTAACTAGCTTTCGCCCGCGACTCCGTCCGCGTGGAATTAAAAAAAAAACAAAAGTGAGTAGCCTATGTGTTCTTCCAGACTATGCTCTAAGTCTATGCCAAATTTCATTGAGATCCATTCAGCCGTTTAGGCTACAAACTCTAACAAACATCCATCCATCCATCCATCCATATAAACTTTCGCATTTATAATATTAGTTAGATAGTTAGATTACCACAAAAGTAACCACTTTTAAATCACTTTTAGATCTTATAAAACAGTTCAAACGAGAAAAAATTGCTGATTCTGAATATATATACTACTTACTACTGCTAATATTACTAATATTTGCTTATACTCAGTTTAACCCTAAGTGTAACTTTACACAGCGTTCATTTGTAAAGTTTAATTTAAAGAAAACTTAATTATATGTGTGTAGGTAATTTTTATATTGATAAGCCAGTGTGAAACAGAAAGCTGAGCCGGTGCTGGTCCACGGCACCCGCGGCGAGGACGCCACGCTGCTGGTCTGCTCGCTGGTGCAGATCATACTCAACC